TCTTTGGGTTTAACTTCAGTCACAGTTTTTACCTCTTGTTTAGCCACAGATGAGATCAGGCTGAACTCTTTCTCAACCGCTTTTTGAAACGCTTCCATCTACAGTATCAGACACAGAAAGACTTCATCTGAATTTACCAGATAAACATGCGTGTAGCCATAATGAATGGTAGATAACCAGATTAATACATACCACTTCTCTCTTATTGGCTTTGGCTTTTTCAGTACTCTTTTTAACTGTTTCCAGCTCTATCAGTTTACAGGTTCTTCTGAAGAGCATTTCCTTTAACAATACAAGTAGAAATGGACAATTACTTTCAAAGCAGTCTTGAGTCAATTTTCATTCATTTTTATACAAATCTGCATTCAATATAATTTATTACATATAGGCTACGTACGAGCGGTTTAGACCCATTTGACTGAATTTGTTTCAAGGCTTATGTTTAAATGTTTAAAATTAATTTTGTAGACAAAGTGTATGAATTTTGTTTAGTTCCACTTGTTGGATTTGATTGCGCGGAGTGCTGATATACAGCAGCACTGAGATTTTCATTGTAGCACTCTGCTTGTCTGTGTTTGCGAGTTTCGGACAAAGTTTCACTCTGTGGCCAGGTTATTATAGTTAACTAAAACTAAAACCATAAAAAAACATTTTCATTGCTTGAAATAAAATTAATGTCAACTGAAACAAAATAATATATAACAATATATTTTATTTCAGGTAGTTGCAAAGGCAAAATGGATCATTTTCATTAGATTAACCTCATGTACTAAAACAACTAAAACTAAAATAAAAACTATTTAAACAATTAAAAAATGTAATAAAATGAGGAAAACAATAAAATTATTAAATCTTTAACTATAATGAAAATGGAAAATATAAAAATAGAAACAAATTTAAAATATTTAAATAAAAACTATTTCAATGATACTAAAATAACACTGGTCTGTGACTGCATTTTAAAGAACTTTTTCTGTCACAAAAGGTGGTGACAAGTGACTTTGAAGTGTTTTGAAGTGTCATATTGAATCATTCAAAATTGATTCATTCAAATGAATTCTTTTTCGTTACCAGAACAAAAGTATTTTGCTGGTGGAAAAAAAATAAATAAAGTAAAAAAATTAAATAGACAAAGTAACTGGTTAGACTGTATCTAAAAGGTAAGTTATACTCTGTATTAAATGTTGTATAGAAGCAATAGTACACAATCCCAGCTGTGCTGACACATTTGAGTAAAACATACTTTCTCTGCCTCTTGGTAGCGAGACTCCAGGTCCAGACCCAAACCAAGAGTGGACAGGTTGCTACTGCCAGCTTTCTCAAAGTTTCGCTAAAGATACAAAAAAATAAATAAATAAATGAATAAAATAAAAATGTTTAGTATTAAATAATTGTATAAATACAGGAATGGCCAAGAGCCCTTCAACTGTGCTTAAAGTTTTTGCATGTAAAGTGGCCTTACCTTTACTGCCTCAATAATATCTGACAGCTTCAAACAAACCCTAAAGAAACACAAAATCTGATTATCCTCGCATAACCAACATTCACATAAACATGCATTTCTCTCACACATTCTCTCTTTATTCAATGTGTGCACATTAATGCAGACAGAAATTGTCATTTTATTTAGTAAATTCTAACTTGGAGAAAGCTACAGCAGCTGCATCGTCCTGATTCACACAAAGATGAAGAGATGTGGAGAAGTGTCCACAGGCCAAAGCAAGCTCTGTAAAACATACACACACAGTCATATATAAGCCTACTGTATTCCTAAATAATGTGTACTGAGCATGCATATAAACTTCTTGAAATGACTTACTTTGCTCTGTCATCACAACATCAAGTAATTTCTATTGCGAGAAGAACACAAAATTGCACAATGTATTATAAAATGACAGTCCACTGGCCAAATAGAAATGGAAAAAAACAGCTTAAATAGTGTACCTCAGTGGCAACCTTTGACAAAGCAGCAAGGTTAGTGTTTTTGATTCTCTCGTTCTGAAAGAAGTTGTCCACATCCTGGGGTATTAAATTATATATTTACATATGTGATATAAATTGCATTAATAGATCTATGATGTTTGTATAGTCATATATCATATGTCACTACACATTGCTGTGTTTGGTACAAAAAACTTTCCCAGAGGTGCATAAACCACTCACATGAACAACAAATGTACTCATAAACCCACACTCACACACACACACCTTATGACTTTCCTTCCTCATCTCCTCCACAGCCTGACTGAGGCGATTAAAGATTCCTTTCCTGCCTCGCTGTCTTCCAGGAGACTACTCAAAAAAATAAAAATAAAATACACGCAATGACAGAACTAAGATTGTCAACAATGATTTCATCACATTTCCCCCAAAACTAATCAAGGTGGTGACATTCAAATGAACAAACAATATAAAGGGAAGGCTTTTCTAGCAAAGTTTTTCTCCATGCTGGAGAATCCAGTTAAAATCCTCATACACTCTCACAAAACACAAATCCTGTCACACTTCCATACTTTATTTACCCCTATTATTACTGCATATTAGTACCTTTTGAAAGAGTTCCATCCCAGTGACAGCTTTTTTTTCCTGAGAGTGTATGGTGAACAGGGGCGGACTGGGACAAAAATTCAGCCCTGGCACTGTAGCCACACCGGCCCACATTACCACACCGACACACGCATTCACTACTTACATTTGTGTACAGATGGTGAAATAATATAAGCAGTACCATATATGTAACAGATATTTAAACATTTAATGTATGTGTCTGGCAAACAATGCTTACTACTTTTTAAAGAGCACACGTTTATAACAAATTTACACATACAGTTTGATGCCTTCGATCTGAAGAGTATTTTGCTTAACTGCCATGTCCGTTTGATCAGCTCTCTCATCAATTTTCACAGTCAGAATCCGAATGATGTTTTCTTGCAATTCACTTAGAGACGGTTCATTTCCTTCACTAATCTTAGTTTTCTTTTTGAAATGTTTAGTTGGGGTGTTTGGGTCAGAGTTACAATCACCTCCGTCTTTAATTTTGCAAGCATAAGAGTGAGCTTCCTGTATTTGCCTTTTCTCCTTTGCAGCCGGCTCAATCTCCATTTCTACGAATTCCTGCATTGTGGCGTCTTTCTTAGATTAGCACGCGGCCGCGATTCTTTAAAGCTGTTTCTGTCGATTTCAGCAGCTATAACTCCTAATAAATTCTAAAAGCAATTGTTGTTACTCTAGAACAAATGATTTTTGCAATTTCACAATACTAAACCTTTTTTGAAATGAGTAATCCCCACTTTCATTTCTCAGCTCCAAACATACGACTACTCACTCCGCCATCTTGAGCCTCCCTTTTACTGAAAATTAGCTCGTGTTGCAATCTCTCTGATGACGTGCTTGATTTTGACTGAACGGTTCGGTCGGCTCATCTCGGGACCAGGCAGCCAGCCGTGGCCAACTGGGCAAAATGCTTAACATTTATTTATTATTAACATTATTATTATTATTATAACCATAGAGAAATCGTGCAAGCGATAAAACCCCGTCCTATGCGCTGTTGGCCCGTAAAAACAATTTTATTTATATATATTTAGAAAAAATCTGACCGGCCCACATTAAACAAAATGGTCCGGCCCCTCTGGCATTTGCCAGAATTGCCAGATGGCCAATCCGCCCCTGATGGTGAACATATACAGTACAAAACATATTGGTCACAAACACTGCTGAAATACAAATCAGCTCATACCAGGTGGTCAAACTTCTTTTTGGAATATAGCAGTAGCCCCTCACCGCAGAACAAAGATCCAGGGGGTGGGGTTGGATCCACATCTAGGGGGTGGAGGTAAATGCACAAAGTTTCCTGTAAGGGGTAGGTTTAGGTGTAGGGTTGGTGTATGGCAATAGCACATACAGTTTGTACAGTATAAAATCCATTACTCCTATGGAATGTCCCCACAATTCACAAAAACAAACGTGTGTGTGTGTGTGTGTGTGTGAGTTCATAGTAAACCTCAGAGTTAATAAGAAAGCTGTCCAGTGCGTTGCACTTGCAGAGAGTTGGGTGTGTTGCCACCTGCTGGAGATAAAACTCCAACGCCTTGGAATAACTCTGCCAAGCCTGTCCTAGAGCCAGGAACCCTGAACACATATACAGAAAATGTATAATGCATAAGAAACAAAATATCAAACCAAGTGGCATCTACAAAAAAAAAAAAAAAAAATTATGCAGATATATCTTGTCTAAATTGTGCATATACAAATAATACATACCAAGTTGTTTGAGTGCTTTGGTCTGCGTGTTTGACTGTGATGGAAGTGCTTTAGAGGGCAAAGGCGGAAACTGTGGGAATAATCTTCTCATTTAAATGTCTTCCTCATTCATAGATCTGATACTTCTGAAAATTAATAAGCAATGATGTTTAATTGTGAGTTTTAGAGAATTCACTCACTATAATTCCATGAAGTCCAGGAAGATTTTCTTGTGAGAAAAGACTCTGCTGAAGCCAGTCAAAGTCCTCATATGTTCGAAAAACACAAACCCCAGCACTGCTGTTCAACTGAGAGAGAAAAAAACTGAACGATATATTAACATTCCACAAATTCCACAAATCTAAAACATGCATTTATTAGGCGTCTTACTTTCTGGGATGCGATGGCAAATGTCAGAACGTCTCCATCCTGAGTCACGTCAGTGATTCTGATGCTGCTCACGCGTACACTTAGTTCTGCTTCTGCACTTGAACCTTCCTAAAACACTCACACAGACACATTCATTTACCCACTATGAAAGAATTATGTCAAAAATGCTTGCATTTATTTATAATCACTCAAGGGGTTTTTATTAGCAAATATCTTTGTGAAACTTGAAAAAGCTTAAATCTGTTGAGGTAATAATAATATTCCAGTATATTTATTTTTTACAGTCTTTAGTTATTTACTTACAGTAAGGCATTATGAACGAACATTAACAATGAACAGTATATTTACAAGTCCATTTATGTGTACAGTCATGTACCTTTGCCTCTGTCCCACTCTCTTACGTGGGGAACGCCAGGTTTGGTGTCTTTTCTCTCTTGAATCTCCACTTCCACTTTCCGCACTGTAGCAGGGGCTACAGGTCCAACCAAACCTTCATCATCATCTTCATCGTTCTCAGCATCATCAGCAGCAGCTACAGCAGAACATTAGACATGATCCAAAAACAACCACATATGCCTTAGATCATCACCGATACATAGAAGACCTATTAACTAAATAACTAATGTTCAGCAACACACCCTCTTCTTCATCCCCTGGCTCCAGCTTGCTTTTCTTCATCCTCCTCATCCTCACTTTAGCAAGTCGAGCTTCAAGCAGAGCTTTCCGCTTCTCCTTCAGTTGCTCACGTTTGTGGCGCTGCTCTGTGGTCTGCAGATAGAAAAAGATAATTGCAAAAACGGTAATTTACACTTAGCCAGTAGGAGACAAACTCTAGTGTTCTCACTAATTGTGTATGCAAAATGAACAAACAAATATTGCTTTAAAATAAAAAAATAAAAAATTTATAAAATAATTTAAATAACTGTACAAAATATTGGTAAATTGTTGGTTACTGGTCAATATTGTTTTTTTTTATTTATTTAATTTACTGGTCAGATTAGATGTATATCAGTTGATATGGACATTTATTGGATACTGGATAAGCTTTTGGAAAAGTCTTTTTTTTTTAAGCACACTTACAATGCCTTAAAATGCTGTCTATCATGCTGCTTTGGAAAAAGAGTTTGTGACTCTTCTTTTAATTCAGTTGGTCTGACCTGGTCTCTCAGCATGTCTAGAGTTTCTCTCTGTTTTCTTCGTTGGTCCTCATCCTGGGCAAAAGTAAAATACCCAACACCCAGCTCTCTGGCCTCTGAAACAGACACAAAAAAATGCATGAGAGACACTATGAAGATGTAATTCAACACTCTCATAGAAGTACTAATTAGAGACATTTTCTACACAAAAGACAGGTTTCAGTGTGTTTAGAGATCAATTCTCTCAATCACCTTGCTCTCTGATATTTTCATAGTGAATGGGTCCAACAGGTTTCTTCATCTGCTCCTCTTCCTCTCTCTCCCACTGCTCTCTCTGCATTTCTCTCCTCATGTCCTCAGATAACAGTGTCCTGTCAACACCAGTCACCCTGCACACAATAAAATATACATAGATTGAGCAGGAACAATACCAATTAGTTACATAAAATAAAAACAAAGGTAAGAACAATAAATGTACCTATTGTTGTGGAGTTCTTGGTCCATTTTCTGAAAATCTGGTAGGTCTTTCCTCAGACATCTTCGAGAGCGTCCTAATGCATCAACATAGTCCACCCTGCAAAACAGAGAGCAAGAAACCCACAGCTGAGTTCAAATCATACTGCCTCTTCATCAGGTTTAAAACACATTTATAAACACATGGTACCATTCTTCATTTGCATTCTGTGGGGGTGGAACAGGGATGTTCACATCAGAGTCCTCTCCATCTCGGTCCCCTGCTACATTTGCAGTGCGTGTCTGTGGTTCATTTCTCTGGTTGATGATCTTCTGAGTGAAGTCCACCAGAAAAAGACTTTCAGTCTCTTCATCTAAAGATAAAAATAAATGTAGTATACTTCAATATCTGTTCATTTTTTGTTACACTAAAAACACCCAAAGCAGAATAAAAATGTATCCAAGAAGTGAAATATTTTAATCTGGCAATGTCAGCAAGCATATACCTGGGAAATCTCCTTTTGTCATCTGTTCATAAAGACGTGCCTTTTCCTCCAGTTTTTGCCTGCATAAGAAAAAATGCATCAGGAAAATTTTGCAGATTGAAGGTGCTTTATAGTATGCTTAGATGTATCTGAATCATGTCTTCTTTTTTAACATTATTATATTGTTCGGTGTATATTAAATATATTCCAAATAATGTTTTACTAAAAATATTACATATTTGTCAATGTATCACTATATTATTATATTATATTATATTATAAAGTCAATACAATATATCAGCACTTGAAACAGTAGGGTGTATAGTCTCTCATTATTATATCATATATTAATAAAAAACAAAGTGGCCAAAAAGTATTTAGATGCACATAAAAAGTGAAATGTATTTATTTATTTTTCAAATAATATATCCTCATTAATATGAGTTATTTTTCTTATAAGTGAATGTCAGTCTACAGCAAATAAAACAACTCATGAAATATTACTAAAGACAACAGTTTGTTATAAAAAACAAAAATCCTCAAAAAGTATTTGGACACTTAGGCCAAATTTATATATGAAATTTGTTGTATTACATTATCAAAACTGACAAAGTGTCAAACATGCTAGAACTTTTCACAGAATATACATTTTTGGGATCACTGCTGTAGATTTATATTTAAATTATCTTGGATTATATACCAACATTCATACATTTTACTTTTTGGTCCAATACATGTCCAGTGAACAATACAAAAGAAAACGAATTGACGAAGAGGAAATAAAGAATCAGGATAATGTAGTACCCGATGAAAGTTCATTCACCTGGATTTATCTAGTGTGTTTTCTTCCTCTGCAGTTTGCTGAACGTCCCTCTGTGCTCGTACATTGACTCCTTCATTCTGTTTGCTCCAGATATTGGGCTTCTGTGAGCACATACACACACAATCAACACACAACAGGCGTATTTATATAATAATTCAATGATCATATCTAGCTGTCATCAACTGTCCGTGTCTTACTTTTATTTTTATCTTAGGCTTCTGTGCGGCTCCTGCATCTTGGCCAAGTCGGTCGTGGTTAAATTGTTCCTGTTTCCTATATAATTCCGCTTTCAAATCAACCAGCTGCAATGTAAATGAAGTAGATGTTAGTCAAGAGATTTAAAAAGACCGGGCCATCATTCCCAGTTTCAAAACAGGAACACAATGCAAGTTTGCTGTCAGCTGTCATGCTAAGGTAACTATAACACACAAACAAAACTAAAACGCTCCTTCTAAGCCTCTTGTTTAAAAGAGTACTTTAAGCACTCTAATATACTCACCGATGACGCTGTAACATTGTATGGTTTCTTCTTTTTATCCATATTAACTCTAGCTGTTTAGGTAATCCAGACTAACACTGGCATTCCGAGAGCGAAACAGTGTATCCCTGAAAGGGAGAAATGTAGTCTGCCATCTACTGTCTCGGAGTCGGAGGTCACACTACAATAGTATTGGTAACTATAACACACAAACAAAACTAAAATGCTCCTTCTAAGCCTCTTGTTTAAAAGAGCACTTTAAGCACTCTAATATACTCACCGATGACGCTGTAACATTCTTCTTCTTCTTCTTCTTGTTAGTTTTATGGCTGATTGCAACCATGACTTATCAGGTGCATACCGCCACCTACTGTATCGGAGTATGCAGCATGGATTATATCTCACTCACCGATGACGCTGTAACATTGTATGGTTTCTTCTTTTTATCCATATTAACTCTAGCTGTTTAGGTAATCCAGACTAACACTGGCATTCCGAGAGCGAAACAGTGTATCCCTGAAAGGGAGAAATGTAGTCTGCCATCTACTGTCTCGGAGTCGGAGGTCACACTACAATAGTATTTTGAAATACTGTGGTACTTTTTTTGCTAGTGAAATATATGAAAACTGCAATTTTAACGTCAGGTTGCTTCAAACTGACTCCAAAACATGTTACTAATGTCCAAAAATATGACATTACGCTGGTATCATGTCTTAAAAAACCATGGTAATACTGTGGTACATTTTTTGTTAGTGAAAAATATGAAAACCAAAAGTTTATGCTTCAAATTAACAAGCTCTTAACATGTAACTACGATATTCTCTAAAAATGGTACTTTATGTTACATTATTATTATTGAAAATGAATCAAATGCAAACCAGAACCATAAAAGTAAGTGTCAAATAAGTTTTGCACATGGATAGGATAATGTTGAACATGCTGCCAACCACGTACAAAGGTGAGTCCACTTAAAAGTGTGTGTTCACACCAAACAGGCCCCATGTATTCCTATTACAGAGGAATTACCAGGTCAGTCAAATAAACCTGCCATGGCAATAGTTCAGTGGTCTAGTAACACTACTAGATATTGACTCAACAGTGTACCACCATATGACTTTGTTATCATCATATTCACATCACCATAAGGAAAATCACTTTGTCACACACATAGGCCTACAGTAACAATAAGGGAGTTTTAGTTATGTTTGTATTCACAGTTACAGTTGTAGACTTTAATGCTAATTGTTAACCAAAGGCTATTATAAAAGTGAGAAGCAGATGTGCAGACCTACAGAAGCAGTTTGATCATTACAGAAGGTGGGGTTGACTTTTATTTTTTTTACTATTTCTGTGCACTCGGCGTATATCAGATTAAATACTTTTAAAGTGCAGCCATTAAGAGTGTTGTCATAAAACAGAACTAAACCAGGTGACTTCCCAGGATGCCGCTGCGTTGTTGTGCCAGCCACATGTTTCTGCTCTTATGTGCTCTTTCCTTGTGTGTCGAGTCCGTAAGAGGCGGCACCAGCTTTCTCAGTCCTGCTCAGAAACCACAGGTGAGCGTATGTCTGGTGGATGTGTTTGAGATGTTTTGGAAATGAATGCATTTTAAGATGTAAATTTAAAAAAAAATAAAGCATGTCAATTTTACATAAATTAATGCTAGAAATTTGGCATCAAATATGTGTCCAATTTTAAGGGTCGAAGGCCACCACGGGTGGGCAGAAGAGATGCTGCAGAGCCAGAGATCCCAGTGATTAAAGAGGATGATCAGTTTATGGTAATAACTCAGTGCAAGTGCACATTTAAATAGGATTTCAATGAGTTACTACTTCAGCCATACTTTGTTCTCACGATTTATTTAGGCGAGGACTCCATTCGAACTGTCCATGTCTCTGAGTGAAGCAGAGTATGAGAAATACAGTCCTGTGCTGCAGAAGATTCTGGTGAATCTTCTTAGCGATTTCCCACTTGGTGAGTTAAACTCTTATTTTAAGAACAGATCCATACCAGTAACTATGAAAATCAAATGGCAAATGCAATAAAGCATCTATGTATTTTATTACAAACAAAATTCACTATGGAAAATTTCCCAGAAAGGCTCTCAAATTCTTAAAGAACCTTAAAACTAAAAGTGCTTTCTGGCAGATAATTCCTCAAGATACTGTTTGCGGTTGTCTTCAAATAATTTTAGTGTTCTACAAAATTACTAATATAGTAAATGCGTGTTCTTTTTTCAGAATTCTGACAAGAGCTACCAGTTCTACAAGATTCAACTCCTTAAAAACCAATAAAAATGTTTGTAAATTAAAAATTACGTAATCATTTTCCAACACCACGATTTGACAAAATAAAGGATGACAAAAGAAATAATTTTCTGCCTCTGTGGTTTCTCTTTTCCTTGCTCAATAACATCCGTTTCACATTCAATGAGGTCTCAAATGGAAAAGCAGCCTTGTCTTTCTCAAAAAATGAATTTCATAAATCCACTCATGTTGCATATACAAGATCATTTATTCAATCTTCCTATTTAGACAAAAGTTACATTTATATAAAACCAACAACTTGGTAAAAGCTATTTGTTGTGGTTTTTCACAATCTGTTTTACACTGTCTTTTAGCATAAACTTTCATGTCATGGTGTAAGCAAAAATTACTTATTCTAATATAAGGGAAGACACAAGCTGGCATCTTATGTCACTTATGTCTCACAAGCATACATAACTTGTAAGAATGTATGCAGACACATGACAAAAGCATCCTGAGAACAAAGAACCATTTTAAAACAATACTGAAGAGATATTAAAATTAATCATTACTAATGTTTTTAACAGATGTGAAGTTACCTACACCACTTACAAAACTTAAGTATCAATGCTCATACATTTATTAGCACATACTACAGTACATTGAAGTAGAAATTTTAACTTTTTTTGCAGACATTGTTATGTAAACACAAGGAAAGGGTCAAGGAAATCACATTCAAGACCATTTAGTTTGGAAATAAATGCCAAAGATGCAAGACTAAGCTGATAGCAGCTGGACTAAGATTGCAAGGACTTCAGTTGCTATAGTAACATGGAGTTTCTAATCACAGACCATATATATGTCTAGTGTTCTGCCGGACTGTTTGCAGTACTGTGGTTAGGCTCTCTCCCTTCAGCAGACTAATCTCATGCAGTGTGTGTATGCCCATGCCAGGGTGAGCAAACCTGCATCTGGACTTAGGCACCTGTAGAGAGAGGAAGAGCGGTGTGTGTATATGTATATTAAAGAATGACAAATTGAGTAAGGCATGCACATATATGTAAGCGGAATCAAAAAATGTGCGCTAAGATACTGATACCTGTCTGGGTACAAAATATGGTGCATCTGTCTCCAGTAAGATTCTGTCGAGTGATATTTTCCTCACGGCGTCTCGTGCCTCCACAGCGTGATGGTACGTCACAAGTCCAGTGAAACCCACACACAGGTTAGAGAATTCACTTAGGAACGGCTCAATCACAGAGTAGCTGTTGGTAAAACAGTGTCTAACATACAATGACACACGTTAGAAGACTATGAAAATAAATACATTATATAAATTGTTTATATATATATATACAGACACTTTTAATTTTACAAAAAATATATATTTCAAATAAATGCTGTTATTTTAAACTTTTATTCATCAAAGAAACCTGGAAAAAAAAAATCACTATTTAAAAAAAAAAAAAAAGTTTTTCAACATTGATAATAGTAAAAACCATTATTAATAATTAGGCACCAAATCAACTTATTACAATGATTTCTGAAGTATCATCTGCCACTGAAAATTTAGTAATGGCTGCTGATAGCTTTGCCATCACAGGAATAAATTACATTTAGAAAAAGAAAACAGTTCATGGTCCGAGCGTTTGTTTTATGAAAACTGACCTGTGTATTTTGTAATCTCGGGGGACACACTTCTTCATAATTTTCAGAACATCGTCATCAGCATCACGGCAATGTATGACAAGAGGCTTCCCGAGAGAGACGGCCAACTGCAACTGCCGTTCAAACACCTTGACACACAAAGACAGAAATGTTTAAAAAAAATAATATATTTTAGCATAATATAAAAACAGTTGGAAGTAATCATCCTGTTTGCCATACCTCTTTCTGCTTCCTTGAGTCTGTGGAATTCTTATACGAGTAATCCAAACCGATCTCTCCGAATGCAATGGTCTTAGGGTGACGCATAGCACCCATGATGCTTTGCTCATGAGCATGGTTATACTCCTTGGCAAAATGCGGGTGGCAACCAAAGGCTCCCCACACTTTCTCCTCTCCCAGTAGCCCTTCCCAGATGGCCTCTCTCTCAGTGATTCGTGGGTTGCAGAAATCTGCGATGCAGCCCCTAAACTCCATTGGGAAACTACTTGCATACTTGCTCTGAAATTTTTGGAAACTTCCCCGGAAACCCAACTTCCCATAGAGCATGTCAAGGTGACAGTGCGTGTCAATAAATCCTGCAGAATCTGCTTTTGAGTAGTTCAAATCTGACAGCCAAAGAGGCTCCGAGCCAACAGACATCCTGCGAGTGGCACCGTCCGCAGCAAGGAGCATCTGTGAGGATGCGTAAATATTTGATTCTGAAGTCCTGCGTGTAGTAAGAGGAGAGTAATCCCAGTTACCAGGTGTATATGGAACGGAGGCAAAGGTTCTGAGCCCGGGGAAAGCATCGACCAGTGTAGAAGTGCTGATGATAGACTGTTGTAATTTGAGTGACCGCCTAACTGTCCTACAACGCGAGTAGTTCTTGGGTGGCTCGAGGTCAAGGGCTGTGTTCTGAGGTGGAAGCTCTGACAAGAGCTCCATATCCCTGGCTGGGATTGTTGGGGAAGTGTCACAACCTTGTGGCTCCAGTTTCCACAGGGCTTGTGGGAATATTGAAGGCTTTAAAGCTGGTGATGAAGAGTAAGGCTTGCATTCCAAAGGTGGAGGAGTGTCACTGAATTCCACAAGCTTACAATCCCTTTTAAGCTCAGTTGTTTGTCGCCCCTTTGGTTCCATAGACTCATCCTGTGAGAAAACTTCAACCTGCTCGGAGTCCTCAACATCGGACCAATCCGGCGATTCTGGACGCTTTAGGATCACACTCTGTGCACAGAGACAAAGTCAGTATCAATTCTCTTAAAAGACATTTATAATAGTGCAGAACAGCCATGCTTTATATAGGACTTCATTTATTATATATCGAACAGTTCAAGTTTTTGGATAGTACGATTTTTTTAATGTTTTGAAAGTCTCTTAAGCTCACCAAGGCTGCATTTATCCGATTATAAATATAGTAAAAACAGTATTGTATGCATATTGTGAAATATTGAAAATACTGAAATTTATATAACAGTTTTAATATATTTTACAATGTAATTTATTCCTGTGATGACAAAGCTGAATTTCAAGTGTGCTTAAGAAACATTTCTTATTATTATCAATGTTGAAAACATTGAATTGAAAAATAGATTTTTTCCCAAATTGTCTTTGTCAATTTTGATAAATTTAAACACATTCTTGCTGAACAAACATTTAATTTATTTTAAAAAGTAATAAAAATAATAAATAAACAAAATAAAAAAAAATTGTATCCATTACCGTGGTGTCCAGCTTTATTTCTGTCCCATCATCTTCTGTGTCTATGAACTCCAGAGGGGGAGGCCTATCATCTGTAGTCGTGATCAGTAGTTCATTCTTCTCACTGAATGAGCAGCAGTCAAGCTCAGAGGTACTTTCCTCCTCAATTGCCTTTATAAGCTTGTCTGGGGTTTTCTTTGCAGATAGACTTTTAGGCCCACCAATTGATGACTTTTTGTTTGCATCCCCCATTGCATCATTCAGTGCTTTGAGGAGAATTACTTTCTGCCCTTCTTCAGGACTCCTGCGTTTCTTTCCAGCAGAAGGAGGTGAAGGTCCAACAGAGGATTGTTGTCCTGAAACAGTGTCCTATATGTCACACACAAAACACAAATCCAGTCAAATACATGCAATTTTTAAATACAGATATTTCTACAATTAAAATACACAAACATATAATTCTTATTGTTACTTACCTCACCAGGACTCTTTTTTCTTGACAGTGCTCCGTGGCGTCCAGTCAGTTTTAACCGTGTTTTGGGTGTACTGCTTGGAGTGCTGAGACACATGTTCTCCATGTCGCCCAGTCCAGCTGACCCAGTAGATGTGTTGAGTCCAGGAGAGCTAACCTCACTCATACCACCATCCTGACCATTTCCATCCCAGCATGTTGGCTGTGCCACACCCACACTGTTCTTCATGAGCTTTCTTGGGGATTCCACATTCAGCCATGTAAACTTCACCTTTTCCCTTTTGTGGTTCATCGTACTAGGACCTTGAGAAAGGACATTTATACATAAAAATACATAATCAAAAATGAGAAACACAAACAGGTGCAGCCGTTTCTAAACTCTATCTGAGAAGGATTCACTTGCAGGTTCTTTGAGAAAACAGAAAACATGGCAAAACTCAAGGTGGAGATGGACTTCAACAACCAGATGCGCTTACAAAGAACTCTGACGCTCACTTAAGTTAAATAGGGATTAATATTCATTCAGTATTTACGTGTTTAAAAACTCCGTAGTCAGCAGATGGGCATTTCCTGTAGGTTAGCTAAAATTTAGAAACACATCGACGTCTCCTACTTATTTTTATACATTAATAAATAAAAGGCATAAACCTTCATACGATGTAAAACACGTTAGCATGTTCATTTAAAGAGCTATTGGTTAATTACAGATGCTAATAATTAGCAAAACCTCGTGTCTGACCCAAACCTGTGACCCCACGCGTCAGAGCACATAACGACGATCACAAGAACGGAAAACAGTCTGAAAGTGAGTAATAGTGTTGATTAAACCCGTTTTAGTTCAAGCAACGGCAAAGTTAAAATTACAAACCTTAAGACCTGCACGGATGAAGAACGTTCAGGTGGATCACGTGCGTATGTAATTAGCGATGCGTTCACTCAATAATCAACTGGACCCAGACGGCGTTGCACGATGGTGAACGCTGTTTGAGAAAGTACTAAGTATGGAGTGTGCACATATCTAGCACGTATTTAAGGGGATAAGAAAATAAACATTTCATTTATTATGTTCCCCCCACCCCACTTAAAGTCAATCTGTGCATAGAAGACTTACAAAAAGCAACCGAGGAAAACAAGTTGACCTTTTGTTACAACATGCCCCAATACTGGGGTACATTGTCACAATGAAACCTGCCATTCAGGCTATTATAGGCTTTTCAGCAAAATGTAGAGAGTTCAAAAATTGTAAACCACAAAACAAGTCATAAAAATACAGAAACAGCAAAC